AAAAAAAAAAAAAAAAAGACTGCCCCGATCCTCCTTCTGTATCCCTATGGAACGAAAGCCGTCACTGCCTGGGAGAAAGGCAAAGACCACTCTTTCCTTAAGGAACATGGTGAAAACCTACTGCAGCCTAGAAAAGGAGGAGGGGAAATGAAAAGGGACCTCTAGACTTGGGGGCGGGCCAGGAACACGGAGAAGGCCATAACTCTAATCACGACACAGTCACTGCCTAGGATCAAGGCCTAATCAGAGCGTACCCCGCTTGCCCGCCACCCCAGACTATAAAACCACAGGAAGCAGCAGCAGCAGCGTGCACCACGGAGAAGGGGCATGAACTGCCCAAGCACAGCACAGAGGAGACGCTGCTGAAGGTCAAGCAGATGCCGAGAGAATGTCTTCAGCAAATCGGCCCCCACCCTAAAAGACAAGGTAACCTGGAGGAATCTCAAGTGTTTGGTGTACAGAGGGTAACCACAGCAACCCTAAGCATTCAGGAATACCGAATTATATATATATATAAATATAAATGTTTTCATATAACTCATATAATTCAGAATGCAGTACGCAATAGAACAGGTAGATAATCAGAATGGGGGTGCTGAACTGTCAATCTAATTAACGTTTATAGAATATTTCACCCAACCAGAGCAGAATACCCATCCGTTTCAGGAGCACATGGTATTTTCACCAGGATGGACCATAAAATGTCACAACCAGGTGAGCCTCATCCTGAGAATGCAAACCTTCTTCAACTTTGAAATTCAAAATAATTTAAGAAGAAAAAAACATACAATAATCTCAACAAATGGAAGTTCTTGAAAATGACTACTTAGAACAGCCTACCTTCCCCTCCAAAAAAATACTTAGGTATAAATCTAATACATAGAGGGTCTAGATGTTCAAAAAATCTAGCGGTATGAAAATATACAACAGAAAAAATACAACAGAACACTGAAGGAAAATAAGTAAGGTACAAAATAGTACATACTATACAGTCAGAAGTTTATAAAATTAACTCAAACCAAATACTTTCTGCATAGGGAAAAAAAGGCTACAAAATATTAAGGCCTTTAAAATAATGTTTTTTGGGGGGCACCTGGGTGGCTCAGTTGGTTGGGCGTTCGACTATGGCTCAGGTCATGATCTCACAGTTCATGAGTTCAAGCCCTATGTCGGGCTCTGTGCTGATGGCTCAGGGCCTGGAGCCTGCTTCAGATTCTGTGTCCCCTTCTGTCTCTCCTCTCTCTCTCTCTCAAAAATAAGCAAACATTAAAAAAAAAATTTTAAACAATGCCTCTTTGGTATATTTTTTTAAGTTTATTTTTTTATTTTTATTTTGAGAGAGAGAAAGAGAGAGAAAGAGCATGTGGGTGAGCAGGAGAAAGACAGAGAGAAAATCCCAAGCGGGCTCTGCACTGTCAGCATGGAGCCTGATGCAGGCCTTGATCTCACATACCTTGAGATCATGACCTGAGGGAAAGAAATGAAAAGTTGGACACTCAACTGACTGAGCCACCCAGGAGTGCCATGGTGTCTCATTCTTAATAAGACAATCACAAAGTGTTTTAAAGAAAATAAGCCTGAAATTTATAATATAAACAGTTTGTAAAGCTAATCCCTTTGCTGCCACCTGAGCCTGTAAAGTGCACTTTGCGAAGTCTCGTTAGGTCAACTTCCTTAGAACTCATCCCATATGTTCTTAAAATCACTCACTGAAAATAAAGTTCCGTGGTCAGAGGAGTTTAGAAAACAGTCATTTAATAAACTGGCTTCCCAATTAGAACTGTGCCATGCTGCATCTTTAAGGGGATATAGTTTGCTATATTTTTATAGCTTTGCAGTGTTTCCCAAATCTATTTGGATGCAGTACTTGGCGGGGGTGCAGGGGGAGCAAGCCAGAAGGTACCGGGTTGTTTCCACTGACCTTCCAAAGTAGGCTGCAGACAACATATTATTTTGCTTCTAAATACTTTAGTGTGTACCTCCCAAGAACAAGGGACATTCTGCTGCTTATCCATGACACCATCGTCACCTCCAAGAAACTCAGATTACTTCCCTAACAACATCTAATATCTAGTCCAAATGCAGAATTCCCATTTCCTTATAAACTGTTTTTACAGCCACTCCTTCAAGGTTCTCATGTTATGTTTGACTGTTATTTACTCTTAATACAAAACACCACCCTGTTTTTTGTTTTTTGACACGGATTTTTTTTTTCTCCAGGAGACCAGTCTCCTTGAATTGCAGAAATCCCATGTTTTGTCCAATTATTTCTCCATGGTGCTATTCAGCCTGTCCCTCTATCCCATGTATTTCCTATATACTGACACTTACATCGAGAGGCTCGAAGTCACGTGAAACACTTTCAGCAAGAATATGATGTTGTGTGCCTCATCCGCCTCCCTGGGAAACACACAGGCCATCTCACTAATGACACCTCTGAGCTGAGCTTAATCACTGCGTTGATCTCTCTGTTGCAGAGGTACATTTTCCCCTTTGTTATCAGCATTTCCACTCTGAGGTGACAACTTCCTCACTGTCTGGTCCCTCAACAACCTTTCAGGTGATGGTTTTCGTTGTCGTCGATGGTCTCTGCAGGACCACGCATTATTTCACAGGGTTTCATATTAATTTTTATTTACCTCCTTCAACATTTCCTTATGGGAAAATTGAGTTTGTGATGTACAGGTATGTGAGTTCTGACAAATACAGAGTCGTGTATCCACCACAATCATCACTACACAGAACAGTTACATGGCTTTAAGGAACTGCCCTCGCGCTGTCCCTCGGGGGTCCAACACGAAATCTGGTATAAAGCCCGTGTGCAGTAGCTCTGTTCCACCTGTCCTTATCCCATAATATCTCCTGTCTTGCCTGATAGTGACTAAACCCCTGTTTGCATAGGAATAAAACCATGAAAATTTGTTTTAGTAGAGGCTCTGGGGCCCTGTCCCCAGAAGTTAGGATTCCGAGGCTAAGCGTGCTGTTAGCAATTGTGATACCAGTAACCCATTGAGTATATGCGATGTAATGATATGAGAATGGCCCTAATTCTCTCCCTTGCCTTCTATCCATCCTCTTCACAACGTGACTCTGCAGCTCCTGCCATGAAGAGGTGGCTTCTACTTCTGCATCCCAGGAGTCTGGGCAGCGTATTCATTTCAGCAACAAATACAATGGAATTGACAACGTGCCAGCCTAAGAATCGTTTTCACTCTCTCAGAAGCTTTGGGCTGAGGCCTGGTGGATGAGCCTGGGCCAGCCGGCTGGCCAAGCAGGGGTGCACGGCCTCATCTCCACCATCGCCTCACACGACGGTCAGTCAGGCAAGTGAATGGGGTCATCCCCCAGCAGTCAGCTCCAGGTGACCCACCACAGACCCCTCAGCACAGAGGGCGAGCTAAGGTCACTTAAGCTTTGGCCAGCTGCACTATATGCTCTAGAGCAAGACAAAATGTTTACTGTTTTTAGCTGTGTGTGTGTGTGTGTGTGTGTGTGTGTGTGTGTGAGAGAGAGAGAGAGAGAGAGACAGAGAGAGAGAGAGAGAAAGAGAGAGAGAGAAAGAGTGAGTATGTGTCTGGGTGATCTGTTACATATACACCATAATTCTGATATGCTTTACCCAAGAAATACTGACTTAACTCTTCCTCTCCATTTCTCTTGCCGCCTTCCTCATTGTTTCTCGTTTGGACTACTGCTGTCATTTGACCTCCATGCACACTGCTGCTAAAGTCATAAGCCGAGTTGTCACAGCTGATGCATTCTTATCATCTAGCATAATGCCTCTGCTCCCCACAGGTGCCTGGTCCTTCCTGTGCAACGACTGTAGCCAGATTCGTAAAGCACAGCTCGGATCACGTCCCTCCCGCACACAGGACTCTACTGGCAGTCACTCCACATTCCAGGTCCATTTTCCACTTGGCCTGTTTAATTCTAGGACCTTTGGGCTCAGACCGCAGCCTTGCTTCCCATTCTTCTTCCCTGCCTTCACTTAATGCTCCCTTCGAACTGGAGGGCTGGCTGACCACGCCCTCACCACCTGGTCTATGGGACACTGACTCCCGCCTGGAAGACCCGCCCACATCTCTGCCAACTCCCTATGTCCTTGAAGGTCCAAGTCCTCTGTGAGGGTCTGGTAGCTGTGGTTAAGGCAGAGCTCACCCCTCTCCCTACCTCAATTGGTTGGCCTGCGCCTTTCTTAGCTGAGCACTCCCACCTTAGCACCTGCTATGAGAGTTACCTGCTCCCTGCGGCATCCAGCAGGCATCTCCTCCACCCAAGACTGTGAACTTTTTGAGGAAGAGTCCATCTTTTACCTCTGTGTTCCCTGTGTACCTAACACAGTCCATGAAACATCATAAGACCTTAATAAATGCTTATTGAATGAATGAAGAGATGGTTTTTAGTCACTTAGTAAAACAAGAGTAACAGTAATAAGCCAACTCACAGCAAAGATGGCAAAATAAATACAGTGCTTTTCATATATCGGTCTGTAAAAGAAATCTTCTGGAAAGCCTGTTCAAAACACACATTCCTAGGCTCTGCCCCCAGAGAGACTGGGTTCGGTAGGTCAGGAGTGGAGCCCTGAGTGTGAATTCTTATCTAGCTGTCCATGTGATTTGGTGGAAGGTTTGTGGGCAATATTTTGCTAGACAGTGGTATACAGCCTGCTTTATAATGAATTCCAAAACGAGCTCCTTCTTTCGTGTACCTAAGAATTTTTTTTCCCTGACTTTAATGCCAAAGCATTGTGTTCGGTGAACCTGTAAAAAGAACAATTTTAACAATACATACATAGTCTGGCACCTCGTTAGCTTAGGTTGCTGGGAATAGGGCATCACACTGTGTTCTTTGTAATGACAATCTGCACATACTTTTTTTTTTAATCTACATATCCTTTTTATAAACTATTTAAAGTTTAATTTGTGACACACAGTCCTTTTTCAGACCATCTCACTATGTGAGGCATGCTTTAAAATAAGAGAAGGGCGTGAAATTCCTACCGCGGTCCCAGAGGCTGGCTCTTAATGCTCTCTCAAGCTGCTCCTCCTCGCTCAGCCCTGCTGTGTAGGCATCATAGTTCCTGGGTACTTCTTCAGAGTAAGCTGGCCCGCCGTGGGGGTAATAATCCTGATACGTGGAGTAGCCTACGGGCACAATGAAAAGGCTATAGAACATTGGCATGTACTGTTCTTTCCATTCTCCTGATTTTGTAAGCAAAGACAATAAAATAATTGATGTCATCATTTTGAGTACAGTAAGAACCGCCAAAGTAAGAAAAGATGACAAATGGAGAATGCCTCCGTGAGGCTGGCACTGATAGGTCTTAACACTGCTGTACCCACAGTGCCCAATGTGGAACTGGACACGCTGAATCCTCATGTGCTAAAGAGGAAGGAGCTATTAACTGAGAAGCTCTGAGTGGTCCTGGTATGGGCTATTTTCACCTGGAGTGGATTCTTACAGTTCAGAGCTACACAATACTTGGGGTATTTTCTGTGAAGTGCTCAAGAGAGTGAAGGTAATGACTGAAATGACAGTTGATAAAACCTGTCTGTGGCTGCATAGAATGGGAGGCAGATACCATTTAATGCAGATACCACAGGATTTCTGTGCTGGGTAGGCTACTTGGGACAGTAACAACTACACTGAGAGATACACAAGGCAGGATCTCTGTAATTATAATTGTATGTCAAAGAACATGGTTTCTATTAATAGCCCTTTCAAGAAATTGGTTGCAGGATACAAGAGAAGAAATGACCTGCTCATTAAATAAACCTTTAAGTATCAGACTTACATACCCCATTACTAAAGGTCAATTACAGAGCAAAGTTCACGTCTGTTTCCATCAATCTTCTTAGGTTAGTTTGAGTCTACTCCTCACATTTCCTTTAATTGCCCACTTTTATGTAATTTGTTTGGAAGAGAATTTTTCCCCTCAAAGACTCCCAAGCTAATTCTGATATAATGAGAGAGAAGTTAGTAATAGTCTGTTTTAACTTTATCCCTTCTTTCCTTCCATTATCATATCCTTTGGAAGTGAATACTTGAAAGGTTAACTAATGTGCTTTTTGTTCATGATGAAAATTCCTAGCCTGTACTATGAGTCCTGTGTCATATGTCTCCCAACATAGTACATGCCTGAGTTTAAATTTCTTATTGCTTTAGTAAAACTATAGGAAAACACACACACACACACACACACACACACACTCAACCCAAAATAGAGGTACACTGTGGGGTAGAATCTGGTTAATGAAGATTTCATATTCAGAATATTTGATAATTGGTCCTGAGGCTATTTTAAAATTTAGTTTTACGTTGGTTATAAATAAAATGCAAGATTAAAAGGGAAACAGTTTAACTATCTCCCATAAGAATTTTTGGGCACTCCAAAAGTCCTTATTTTCATAGAAACAATGGAATGATAATAAAACACACTGATCTAGTTTCAGCTGATAATCTGAAGTGATGATACATGTCTATACTCTTACCGGTTATTATAATACTCTGCTATCTTGGTACTGTTTTACTAAATGTCCAGGAAAGTCACTCACAAAGTGAATGATTTAAGTAAACATTAAATAAAAATTTTCAAGATTTTGGGAATTAATTCTGACAAACCTTGCTCCTAAGGTAGTAAAAAATTAGTGGAAATTTACTAAATACCTCCAATGGCCCAACTTCCACATTTTCTCCCATGTTTCCCAGGTCAGAATATTAACATTATATCTAAAACAGGAGAAGGATGCAAATAAAGTTCCCAAATCCTCACAAGAGTGTAGGACTGAAGTGGGATCTGGATTCAAATTTAAATATAGACATCCTTCCTCAAACTGGTCTCCACTCAACTTTCCCATGAAAGAAATTTAGCTCCCGCTGCTATGTTGGGGAAAACCCACCAGCAAGTTTCATAACCTGAGAGTAAAGAAGACTGCAGTGCTGCTCCAGATACTGCTTTCTGGAACTCTTACCAAAACAATTGCAACAACAAAGCCTTTCATATAAGGGCAAATGGCTAAAATATAATCAATATGTCTACTTCACAAAGAACCAAAGACAGGGGCAACTTCCAAACCATCATAGAATACTTATGGGTAAGTCATAAAATACTGTGCCTGGCTTTAGCAGTCCCTGAAGAGAGAGACTGCCCAATCCCCTAAGAGTGCCAACTATTTTACTGCATCAGAAAGAAGCATTTTGGGTACTTTTCCATATGGTTCATTACCACTTTCAAACCCCTATGGAAAGTCATTCTGTTATAGAAGTTCTAAGCAGCATTTCTACCTATCTAGCCTCGAAAAGGTTCAGCTAATTCAAACCCCGAAATAACCTCAAAGCTCTGAATACCCACCTACACAGATAGCAGAATTACTGCCTACATCTATAGAGTTTCAATTACCAGGTAAATTTGCTACAATTTGAGGCAACATTTTTTGACATAGAAAAAAACATTTTTCTTTACTTTATTTCTTCTTTAAAAAACAAACCAGCAGTGCCTTAATGAAATAAAGTCTACAACTCTCAACATCTGAATATTAGAAAATCTAATATGGTACTTGTCAGATAAAACATAGGGAGAAAAAGGGAAAGCTTTAGTAAGTTCAGTCAAAAAGACTAGTGTGGTTAAAGGTTCTCTCTTACCAGTCATAAATCATCAAGAAGACCAAAACTCCCATCAATATCTATTATAACAAGAATAGGTCTCGTAGGACAAAAAATTTTCTTCAGCTGTTCCATTGGCCCAATCAGATATTTTTAAATCTTCATAATAAACATGGCTGGAAAGACCCAACAATCAAACACTTAAGATAAATAAGTTTAAATTATATCCTGCAATGAATACCAGTTTAATATTCTTTTGTAGCTATAGACTTTGGCTCTGTAGTAAAAGAAATTCTGGTTATCATTATTCTATTAACTACTCCATCTGTTCCTTATACACATACCAGGATTTCATGGCAAAAGAGATCAAGAAACACCACCAAGATTAGAAAAATTGGTAACAGCTTTTTAAACATTCATGAGGTTCTTTGACCTATAAAAGACTCTTGCAGCTATGGACTGCCATATTAAAAATAAATCATTACTTGTAAGAGATACATATGCTCTCATACAAGTTCCCTAGATGACCATTAGCATGGCCACCTGGTCTTATGTAGCTCTGCTTTTGAAGAAATCCAGTTACTTCAGAGGAAGGAATATAAATATGGTAATCGTATAGGGGATAAGAGAGAAAGGTAAAAGAGGCTTTTACTTTTGCCTTTAATTCTCTGGTCTGTGTGTCTGCTGTGTGTATGCCTCTTCCATATGAAGGAGGAAAGGAGTAGGGTTCCCTTTTTACTATTTTTTTTAAAGTGCCAAAAAAGAAAAAGAGAAAAGACAGTAACAGGAACTAGGATAAATCAGCAGAATGTCCAGTCCATCTCCTATCCCTGTACAACAGAAAAGGCAGAGGCATCAGTGAGTGGCACTTTTGGACCTGGTTTTATCACTAACTATCTGTATGACTTTAGGCAAATTATTTAACATCCCTCGACTTCAATTCCCCAGCTGTCACACAAGACCTTAGGACCAGGTAGTCTACGATGGTTTTAAGACATGTCTGCACACAAATATATTATTATTCTCTTTGTTCCCAGAAACATTCCTGTTAGTTCTTGGGATTTAATAAATCAACCAGGAGAAAACCTTTTTTTCCCCTCTACCAATGCCTAGGTGTTAGGGGCCATGTTCTACTCTGTTCTATTCTGCCAAGTAGAGGGAACAAAGTCAACAAGTGAGAAATCACAGTGGGAGAGAGGATCAAAATGCATCTTCCTATCCAACCCACCTCTTCCTAGTTACGTAGGCCAATGAAGCTCTTATAATTAAATCAGTGTAAACTGGTCTCCATAACCAAAAACGGAAAGGTATCAACACTCTTCCAAATGAGTATATTTATCAGCTTAGTCAGTAACTACTCATCGCCCTTCTCTTTAGGTGAGTCCACAGACAGAGGGAGATGAGCTGGCATTGCCCAACAGCTGTTACCCTGTACACCAAGACCACAGTTCTAATATTTTAAGCATTCAAATTAGCACAGGCAAAAGCCTCAGAAGTGAAGTCTTTTCTTGGGGCAGCAATAGTATTCACTTCTATGGTCCCCGAGTCAATGGAAGGCCAATCGTCTAAGCCTATGATTTTTGTTCTTTTTTTTTTTTTTTTTTTTATATTTTTTTATTTATTTCTAGGAGAGAGAGAAACAGCGTGAGCAGCGGAGGGTCAGAGAGAGAGGGAGTCACAGACTGAAGCAGGCTCCAGGCTCTGAGCTGGCAGACAGCACAGAGCCCGACGCGGGGCTCGAACCCACAAACCGCGAGATCATGACCTAAGCGAAAGTCGGACGCTTAACCGACTAAGCCACCCAGGCGCCCCTGATTTTTGTTCTTGATTTCATGAAAACCACCTGGAAAGTTAAAAAAAAAATCCAATTCCCTGTATCTATCCTCATTCTGATTTCATTTGTCTTGGATGAATTCATGGCATGGATATACTATAAAAAGCTCATCAGGTATTTCAAATATATATATATTTGATATATATTATCAAATTGATATATATTATCAATCTTGGCTATATATATATATATATAGCCAAGATTGATAATCATGATCCAAACCTTTATAACTTGACTATAACTCCAATAGTCTCACTCCATTGATTAAATCCTCCAGTGGCACTCCAGCACATTCTGGATAATCTCAAACAGGCTCTTTAGTAAAAAGCCTGATAATCCCTTTCTTCCCATTGCTTTGCTTAACTTCTACTTATTCATTCAAGACCCTATACTCCACTTCCTCTAAATAACCTCCACCAAATGCAACCCTACTCCTCCCCCTCAGGCTGAACACTGAATGTATCGTGCTAATAGTGCTGAAATGGATTTCTACCTCTGCTAGAAAGGCGTAACTAGAACTGAACTAGCCCTTCCACCATACTAAAAAAACTGAAGAAAATATATGAAACAAATGTTAGCAGATATTGTATAACAGGCAATCCAAGATTTTGATCCTTGAGAGAAAGGAAATGAGCCTGGAGGTGCTTTCCAGACTGTGGTACAGGGAAAGGAGACACAAGCAGGTGCAGCAGGATCCTTGAGATAAGCTGACGTTTGCAGGGCAGAGTTTCGCAAAAGAAAACTAAGTGTACAGAGAACCCTTCAGAAACCTGCATGGGGCCTCTGGAGATTTTGCTGAATTATTAAGCTCCACATGTGTGGGTGAAATGCCATGAGACCAGGGAAGGAATGAAGAGCTACAAGTTGAACAATTCCCAGAGCTCAGGCAGGGCTAGGAGACCTTTGCTTCCCAACCAACCAGAACAGAGAGCCCTTGCTGAACAAAGATCATTTAGGAGAGACCCCAGAAAAGTGACACCTCAGTAGTAGCACAGAATTAACCATAGAGTAAAAGTTACTTTAGACCCAATAAAGAACTTAAAAACAAGCGTCAGAAGGATCAAACTGATCATCAGGAAACTTAACTGTGTGCCAGAACAAAGTTCAGATTTCTCTGAATTAAGATAAATTCAATACCACAAAATACACAATGTCTAGTATCCAATCAAAACTTAATAGACAAACAAAAATTGTGACCCACAGCCAGGAGAAAAATCAGCGTGTGTTGTAGTAGATGCAAACATATATATATTATATATAGGTATATAATATATATAGATACATAATATGTATGGTATATTATATATAATTTATATAATATAATATAATATAATATAATATAATATAATATAATATAATATAATATAATATATATTAGAGAGAGGGAAACAGAGAGAGAAGGCATAATTATGCCTTTGAACATAAATATTATAACAGTGCTCAGGATTTAAAGAAAAACATGAATATAATGAGAGAAGAAATGAAAGATATGGAAAAGAATAAAATGGGACTTCCAGAGCTGAAAAATACAAAAGGTGAGTGGAAAAAATTTGCAAGATGGGATTGACAGCAAACTCGACCTTGTGAAAGAATCTGAACACACAACAATAGAAACCATCCAAACTGAAGTCCCCACATACCCAAATACACAGAATCTCAGACTTTTGTAAGACAGAATGAAGCAATCCAACGTTGGTGTGACTGGAAATCAGAAAAGGTGGGGAATGTTCTTTAGTAAAACAAAAGCTGGGAAAATGGATTACCAAGGGACCTGAACTAGAAGGAAATATTTAAGAAAATTCCTAAGGCAGAAGGGGAACGGTAAAAGATGGAAATGCTGCAGCGCCTGGGTGGCTCAGTCAGTTAAGGGTCCGACTTAGGCTCAGGTCACGATCTTACAGTCTGTGGGTTCGAGCCCCATGTTGGGCTCTGTGCTTACAGCTGGCTCAAAGCCTGGAGCCTGTTTCACATTCTGTTTCTCCCTCTTTCTCTGACTCTCCCCTGCTCACGCTGTCTCTCTCTCTCAGAAATAAATAAAACATTTAAAAAAATTTTTTTAAAAAGATGGAAATTCAATCTACACAAAAGGAATCTCCTATTTCTGTGAATCAACAGGAACAAGCTCTGGGCCCTTCTCTGAGCTATGGATGTGATGAACATATCCAATGGGGGATTTAAAAAAAAAAAAGCAGGGGCGCCTGGGAGGCTCAGTCAGTTAAGCATCTGACTTGATTTTGGCTCAGGTCATGATCCCAGGATTGTCAGATTGTGGTCCACATCAAAATAAATATTTTACTTAAAAACATATAAAAAGCAAAGGCTTTAAGAACTGAACTACTACATAACCCACCACAGAAATATCAAATTAACCCATGAGAGGTACATGCATGAGATTGGCCCAAACAGCACAGTAGACCTGAAAACCGAAGTGACATTGGAATGTAACCACCCACAGAAGGAGACAGAATTTGTGGTCTAAACCTAAACAGGGTGACTGCCTGCACAAACAAAAATGTCAATATTTACAGAGGGTTTTCACAGGCTCTGGAATCTCACAATAGTCAAAAAAATCACTGTCAAAATTACTGGAAATCACAGACTAAAACAAAACAAAAGACAGTGACCAATGAGTAGACTCAGAGGTTGGAATTATAAGACAGACTTTAAAGACGATCCAATGACCAATGACCAAATGACCAATGACTATGCTCCATGAGATAAAGGTGAACATTTTTGAAATGAATGGAGAGATATTTTTCAGCACAGATAGAAACAAAAAAAGAAGAGAGAGAACCAAATGGAAAGTTTAGAACTAATAATATGGTATTGTAAAAAAGCTACTGGGGGGCGGCCAGGGGGCTCAATTGGTTAAGCGTCTGACTTTCGGCTCAGGTCATGATCTCACGGTTCGTGGGTTCGAGCCCCTCTCTGGGCTCTGTGCTAACAGCCAGCTCAGAGCCTGGAGCCTGTTTCAGGTTCTGTGTCTCCCTCTCTCTCTGACCCTCCCCTGTTCATTCTCTCTCTCTCTCTCTCTCTCTCTCTCACACACAGAAATGAATAAAACCTTAAAAAAGATTTTTTTTTAAAAAAGGCACTGGATAAGTTCAAAAGAAGACTGGAGAGGACAGGGGAAAGAGATCATGAACTTGAAGACAAATCAGCAAAAGTTATCCAAGGTGCAGAACACAAAGGGAAGAAGGTTGAAATAAAAGAGCATGAAGGGCTTGAGGAACACTCAAAATGTTTAGATTTCATGTCATTAAAGTTTCCGACTGGAGGAAAAAAACATTTGTACAATTAATATCTGAAACCCTCCCAAATTCAGTGAAAGACAAAATACATGAGGCAAAAACTGACCAAATTAAAGGGAGATCCAGATAATTCCATAATCACAGTTGGAGATTTTAATCCTCTCTCTCAGCATTGACAGAAAAATTAGGTTAGCAAGATTAGTAAGACATGGAAGATTTATATATATATATATATAAATATATATATATGTAAAAGCACACAGACATACTAATATATATAATTCTCTGTACCTATATTATTTAAGCCAGGGGTCAAAAATCTACAGCTGTGGTCCAAATCCAGCCCACTGTCTATTTTTGTAAATCAGGTTTCACTGCGACACAGCCACACTCATTTGTTTATAAATTGTCTCTGGCTGCTTTCATGTTACAGAGACAAGTTATGACAGAGACCATGTGGCAGTCAAAGCCTTTAGAGTCTAAAACATTAGTTCTACGGCCCTTCACGGAAAGGGCTGCTGACCCCAGATGTAAGCTACGACGGTTGTCCAGTCAAATGGCTCTAAAAGACACGGAGACTTGCCCAGCCTATGGCTCATTTAACACTTGTCTGCAGGAACTGGTCAGGAGCAGTACCGAACCGCCTCTGAGCATGGCACGTGAAGGCCTTAGTCTAAAACAGGTCATGTGCTTTAACAGGAAGTGCTTGTTACATGTTTGCAAGCCATTTAGAAAAAATAAACTCACTTCTTTAAGTCACATGGTATTAACTATCAGAGAAACACCTACCTTAGCCTCTTAGGTGGGCGCGAGTCCTCCTGGATGTGTCGGTGGGGTGGACTGTGGAGAAGAGTAGAGCTGAACCTAACTTCTAACCCTCTGCGGGCAGTGTGGGCTTGCAGACCAAGAATCTGGTACTAGACCCGGATCTAGTGTGAACGTTACCATGTCTGACAGACCTCGTACCCGATCGTACAATCTTCTCAGGCCACGGTAACCTCCTCCCTCAGCCCTCCTTACCAGCTCACCCAAATATGCTCCCTGGGCTGTGGCTCCATCTAGCTTTCAGGCGCGTTGGTTGCACTTGTACATACCCGTGGACGACTCTACAATGGCCCAAGCTACGACTACCTTAAGGAAGCTCTGTGGTGGCAAACACTGTCAGTTTTTGAAATAAAATGTAAACGCAATAAAGTGCTTACCTGAACTATTAAAGTAGTACTGCTGTCTTGGGTGATGAACATGGGAGGAAAAATTGCCTAAGTATAAAGGAAACAGACATTTTAATTGTAGCCCTAAGGATCCCCCCCAGCCCAGCTTTACGGAGGTCTGATTGACAAATAAAAAACCGCATGTATTTGGGTTGGACAACATTAATTTTTAAAAGGTATATAACATTATGATTTAATATACATCTACATATGAAATGACTGCTACACTCAAGTTAATTAACACCTATCACCTCACATAGTTACCACTGTGTGTATGTGTGTGTGTGTGTGTGTGTGTGTGTAAACATAAGATCTACTCTCAGTAAATTTCAAGTATAGAATGCACTGTTATTAACTATAGTCACCACACTGTACCTTAGAGCTCCATAATTTGTTCATCTTCTAACTAGAAGTTTGTACCCTCTGACTAACATCTCTCCATTTCTCTCATGTCCCTCCTACTCTCTGATTTTAGGAGTTCAACTTTTTTAGATTTCACATATAAAGGAGATCATATAGCATTTGTCTTTCTCTCTCTGGCTTACTTCACTCAGTATAATGTCTTCTGGGTTCATCCATGATGTCACAAACAACAGGATTTCCTTCTTCTTTATAGCTGACTAATTCCATTACACACACACACACACACACACAGTCCACATTTTCTTTATCCATTTAGCTGATGGACAGTCACCCTCTCTTGGCTATTGTGAATAATGCTGTAATGAACATAGGAGTATGAATATCTCTTCAAGACACTGATTTCATTTCCTTTGGATATCTACTGAGAAATGGGATTGCTATATCATAAGGTAGTTCTATTTTTAATTCTTTGAGGAACCTCCATACTGACTGTACCAGTTTATATCCTCACCAACAGTACACAAGCATTTCCTTTTCTCCACATCCTCCAGAAATGCTTACGATCTCTTGTCTTATTGATAATAACCATCCTAACTCTTCCCTATTTCAATTTGCATTACACAGTCATAGTAATCAAAATAGTAAGATACTGGGCATATAGACAGTGCCATCAACCAATGGAACAGAACAGCCATAAGGCATTAACTGATGATCTTTCCAACAATTAGGAGGTTCTTTATAACAAAGCCAAAGTCATCTCAAATGATTTCTAAACAACTGTTAAAGTCCCTTTTGTTTGGGGCTAGCCCTATTGGGAACAGAATACGGAGAATCCTCCGCAGTTCCTTATAGGTTCCTGTTGACCTGACCTAAGACTGTTAGAGAAGCCATGGTTCCTACCCTCCTAAAGGGCCTTTCCCCTTCCTCATCTCTAAAAGGGCACTAGGACAGTCAATTCAGCACTGCTGAAGGGAGGTGGCATGGGGAGTAACAGACCCAACTTCAGGGTGATACTCCTTCTCCAGGAGTTATTAGACAGATGCACTAGGCTATTTTCCACAGGGTTCCTGTGGAAATTCTCAGGTCACTCTAGATCTTTCTCTGGCCTCACCAGAAAAAAGGCAGAGGGACTACAGGCTATTTGTAAATAGCACTACATGTTTGTTTCAACTTTTCTAACCTAATTTTCTATTGTATTCCTTTGGAAAAAACGTGATATAAAAAATAAGTCTCCCCAGAACATAGGCAAAGCTTTAAGAAGGAAAACTAAGAGTTAAAATGGTGTAATTGTGGGGAAAATTCTCTTTAATATCAAAATATTTCCCTAAATTATCTGGAAAGCTTTACAAACCACTTCAACTTCAGATACACATAGAAAATGAAACAGAATATGGGGCACCTTGCTGGCTCCATGGATAAAGCATGCGACTCTTGATCTTGGGGATATGAGTTCGAGCCCCATGTTGGGTGTGGAGGTTACTTAAAAATAAAATCTTTAACAAAAATGAAACAAAACATTAAACTCTCAAGAAACATTCTTTCCCCTTTATCAGTACTAAGGAGCACTGGGGCAACAAAGCTCATTACTACATTTCCATAATTAAGTTGTATAGAAAATACAATGAAACTGGACATTTTCAATAAATGCAGTTCCTCCTGCCTCCACCAAGCACACACACTAGAAACACAGTAATAAGCCAATGTAGGGAAATGGGAATCTGTTTAGATGCAACACAGCCTGTAAAAATCATCTGAAAGCGAGCACAACCTGCTAATAAAGACGGCAGCGCAGTGCCTGGGAAGCTTTCTAATATCATGAATATTATATGGTTCTCAAGAACACCAGTCATCGGCACAAACTGTGAAAACAAATTATTTATGGTTCAAGGAAAGGTAAAATAGTCTCAGAAGGTTTCCTATGAATAAAAGATGAAATATTGGAACTCATATGGTCTATAAAACAAGTGTCTGTGAAATAGTTTTCCTATAAGTCAAAAACACTATAGCATTTTAAATGAAGAGGGCTAAAAAATTCATATATTTCTAAATAAAATAAAGTATTTTCATTGGGCATCAATTTGACGGGGGGAAAAAAAGCCAAAACAACAAAAACAAAAAGACAAAAAAAAAAAAAAACCCACAAATTTTGCAGGCAGGAGCCATGCTTTAAGCTGCAACACATAGCACACTTGGTTTGGCCCAGACATGAATATACACCTCACCTGCCGAGAACCTAGGGGTCACTCTGAATCCTTGCAAATACTGGCCTTGCACTTCAGTACAGATTTGTTTTTCTTTTGTGACTTTGCCTTGCACCTATATTAATTTGTGGAAGATTACGAAAGAATACATTATTTTAAATCCATTTTAGAGGCACCTGGGTGGCTCAGTCAGTTAAGCATCCGACTTGGGCTCAAGTCATGGTCTCAAGGTTCATGAGTTCAAGCCCCGCATCGGGCTCTGTGCTGACAGCTCAGAGCCTGGAACCTGCTTTGGATTCTGTGTCTACCTCTCTCACCCCTCCCCTGCTTATGTTCTCTCTCTCTCTGTCTGTCTCTCTCTCTCTCTCTCTCTCTCTCAGAAATAAATAAAAAACATTAAAATTTTTTTAAGTAAAAAAGAATCCATTTTAGTTCTCTGCATTTTCAAGAAAATCACAATTTCCTGTGAGTGCCCTTAATGCTGCTGGTAAAAACACCCTGTGAAAGCTTCTGTCTGGCTCACAATCTGGGTTTGCAGACTCCTCTCTAGAGCAGTGTGGGCCGTGTGTGCAACAGCTGTTTGGCCTCTTGGTTTTAAAAAGAGCCTATTAGGGAATTCCTGAGCTGAACCACAGGGAAACTTGGGGTTGCTTCTGTTTCCATTAGAATCTTGTTTCCATTAAAATTAAGATGAACTTTCAACCTGTTGTCAGGTCAAGGGTGTTTTGTTCTGTACCTGCACACATTTCCATGATTTTCTTCAGAGGCCCAAGAGTGTACATCAATCCGACGAGAATCCCGGCCAGATGCCCAGCGAAGGAAGCCCTAGGAGAGAAGGAGGCTCTTTGTGAGTATTTGCTCTGCACCGATTAGACACATTCTGTCTTCTCAGTAGGCCAGGGCATGTCAATTGGTCACAGTCTACAGGCTTTGCTCCCCCACCACGTCCTTTATGCCGAGGACACCGTCCTAAGAATGTTTCCTACCTTAAAAAAAAAAAATGTACAAGGAATAACCACCACCACATGTTTAAGATGCAGTAACCTTCCTTGACCAAGAGAAGTGGGCTGGCCCCCTTCACTGCAGTGGAAACATGTTGTCAAGACAAACCCATCTACTTCTTCCCGTTATTCTCTGTGGCTCCCATCCCAAAACATAAATGGAATCCATTTTCTCTGAATTACATTTCAAACTATCCAGGCACTGGGAGGCCCTGTATCTCCCAGTATAGCACAGCCGAGTTCTGCCGTACTGCTGAATGAGGCGAAGGGCAGGAGAAGCCCAGCAGAGGAAACGGAGATGGTCACACCCCTTCCCCTAAAGCTGCTTTCAGCCCCTCTGCCCAAAGAGACAAAAATGTAAACTTCAAGCCTGAAAGATGAGGTAGGGCATTAAATTGGTTCCGTGCTTCTTAAAGTACTATCTAGGACTGGCAATCGCTTATAAGTGATTCAGCAAAGCCCCACCTAAGTCTTTGGTGAATGAGAAAAAGAATGAACGAAAGAAAATCACCTAGCTCTCTCCCTCCCCCTCCACTCCCGCTCTTGCTCTCGGTGGATCCACACTCTGCCATCAGCTGTTCTAGAAGAGTAGGCCTGTTCTGTCATAGCCATCCAGTGAAACTCACAGACTCGGCTGCTTACAGAGCACCCCAGCCTGTGGTCAAGGCCACCCAGCACTTGGCCTCGCTCACTCGCTCACTCCTTCCCTCCACTTCATGGCCCACTAAGCCCGTCACCTCACCCCACCGCCAGATCCCCACATGCTCAAAGGTGACCACAGGTCAAGCTGAAAGGCAGGCACCCTGTCATAAAAATCACATTCCTCCTTCCTCTCACAGTCTTCCCTCCGCAACGCTGCTTCTGCCTCCACTCTAGCACGTACTCAGCCTGCTGGGCAGCAAAGTGTTTTATACATTGGCCCGGCTGTCTGTCTGTCTGTCTCTCTCTCACACAAATTCCCTGATGGCATCGACGATGTCTTCTTATTCATCTGTTATGTCACATTAGAAACTAAAGACAAACAAACAAATAAATGGTCAAGTGTATGAATATTTCCACAGTTTGGGGAAGCGAACCTCATTTCAGAAAGTTATTAAGGGAGCCAGACGTAAACTCCCAGACCACAGTGATTTGTCGTTTCCACGTACATATGACACACTCCGAGGACCGTGCCTGGCACTGGAAGACACTCAAATGTGGATTGAGTGAATGATTTGAGTGTCTCAGGACACCCAGAGGCAAGTTAAACCTGTCACATCTTCAACTTAGAGCGCACTCCCTGAGCCACGGCCATGATGGAGCTGAGGAGCTGACGTTCAGTCCCCCACAGCAGACCCAGAATCAAAGCCGGCACACTTCACCTACCCCAGCAGCAACCGACAGGGCAAAGGCCCTGGAAAATCACTGGCAAGATGGCCACAAGCCATTGTCACTGCCACAGAGCTAGTGAGGAGACTTGTTGGGTCCCAGGAAATGAATAGGCCATGGAACGCTTTGGAGAAAAGACCAGAGGAAGCCGCCCACAGGCAGGATGGCACTGCCATTTGTTCTGTTAGCCAATTCACTCCCACTATTGCCTGAACGAGCTCTTGCCAACGTCACACACAGTGCATGTCTGCACGCATGCACATATACACTCACCCCCCTACCCACACACAATCATCCCTTCAAAAGAGCTATTATCTTCATCAAATAGATTTACCTCAAAGTATGTGTAACCTGATAATAAAAACATAGGATGAGACACTCGGGTTCCCATTTTCAGGGGAAGAATAGCATGAACTGTGTTTTTCTTTAACTTTTCCAAAAAAAATAAAATAAAATTGTGCTTATTTTATTCTATTTTTAGGTTACGTAAAACCCTTCAAATGGTTCTAGGAATGGCAGAGAAAGTGGTAGTTTGAGGGATACAAAGAAGAGGCCAGAATCAATTTTTTAAAAATAGTAACCTCGATTTCTCGGAGAAGAAGAAAATTGCATCAACGTTTTTTAACTTTTTAACCCAATCTTCACAGTGAATCATAGCGATATAAAATAACATAGGAGAAAATTTCAATTTAAAACTCCAACCTATGCAACAATCAATCCTGAACCTCAATTTACAATTTAGAGCACACCACAGTGAAATGAATTTCTTCTCTCTCTAAATGAGTTTGCAGAAGTTCAGGTTATAGTCTAATTGTCCTAATGTCACTGTGATTAACTGGGGATGGAAAGCTGGTGGGCCAGAGACCACACTGCACCATCATCCAACATTCTGCATTTTCACGGAAGTCACATCTCAAAACCCTAGCCAAACTTACCATTTAAGCTCTACACAGGTGTTCTTCTCTTAAAAGAAGAGATGATGATCGTATCAATCAAAACTGAGAATTTCTCAATGTAACACACACAAAACAGGAGATGCCACCAATGGAAAAGGAAATCCAGGTTCACTTCGAGTCGCAGGTACCTTCCTCCATGCCATTGGTAACCATTTGACAGACCGCCTCCCTCGCCCTTGAAGGGACGCCCATGTCCTGAGAGAGGAAATGGACCTGCGGGCAGGAAACAGGACTGGAAATTTGTCTCCTCCCCAGCAGGAAGGACATCCCCAGTCCTGGGATCTGGCACTTCATCCCTGCCCCTGGGGGTGCTGCGGGGCCACAGGGAGGCCCTGGACTTTGGAGGAAGCCAGTTAACAGCTTCAGAAGCAGTCTGCGTTATCATGATCATAACTATATACATAACTCAGACATTGTGATGTCTTGTACTGTCCGAGGAGGCCCATGGCTTCAATGCATCTGTACCTGAAGTATGTGCTCTGCTCTGTCCTCAGTTACACCCATAGGCGGGTGCCCCATGCGGGAGGCTCCTAGGAACACGGCTTCGTTGCAACCTGACTACGTCTTAGGCTAGGACTGAGGATTTGGTGATGGCCTGCCACCCTCCATCCGAATTCAAAATAATTCTCAGGGACAGGACCGCCCTCTTCAACCCAGTACCCATGACCTTATTAGTGCAGTAAACAGCCTGACATTAGCACTTAACAACGACTGAAGGAATGGAGCAGTGGAATTAAAATTACAAATAAAATGCACATTTCTACTATATGCTCCAATTGCATTATAGAAACACAAGTTAGGCATGGTCTCCAATTAACAATTGTTTTCATATGAGATCTCATCCAGAGAGATAATGACCAAACATGACACTGTCCCCATCCTGCACACTTGGACAACGTGGTACACAAAACACCCTCTCAATTAACAAAACAGCAGCACTGAATCTACTATTACATCCCAAAATTGGTCACCTAGAAGCTTAATTTCTTATGATAGCTCAATAGTGACTCCCTTTAGGAATCATAATGGCTATAATCAAATACTGACTGATGGCAAGGTACAGTCTCAGGCCAGACACATTGCTGCCATGTCCAGTCACACAGGTTGTGCACTGCACAAACAGAATATAATGAGAAGAAATATCATTTGTCTGGGGTCTCAAGTGTTTCATAAAGATCCAATATTCAAATTCAGATCATCACTTCTCAACTTCGGGGAAAGTACCCATGTAATTTCGTTTCAATAGGGGACTATATCTTAATCCAGTAGTTCTTAAGCTTGTTCAGGTTCTAAGCCCCTTTCAATGTCTGATGAAAGCCACAAATCCTGCCTGCAGGAAAATTACACATACACAAAACATGTCACCTATAATTTTAAGAAGTTCATGGATGGCTTGAATTCCATCCACAGACCTCTGGTTAAAGACCCTTCCCTGAAGTGAAACTAATTCATCACAAACGGAAGAATTTCAAAACTTAGCACCGAGTCTAAACATTTCACTTGTACTCAAATCCTAAGACAGGGGCAGCAATCTGTCTGGATTACTTAAATTTATTAACATGCCCCATCTCCTGGCTGTGCTGCTGCTCTGTAATGATGTACCCTACTCCTAGATTCAGCTTCCTTCCTGCTCAAATCCGACGGTTAGCCATTCTTCCAGCAAAAGTCTGAGGATAAGAAACTCTGCTCCTCTCTGTATGTCCGAAGAGGTCTTTCATTTCAGCCTCCCATTCTGTCCAGAGGTACAGAATCAACCACTGCTGTTTAAAAATCTAAGTTGGGGCGCCTGGGTGGCTTAGTCGGTTAAGCGTCCGACTTTCGCTTAGGTCATGATCTCGCGCTTCGTGGGTTCAAGCCCCGCGTCGGACTCTGTGCTGACTGCCAGCTCAGAGCCTGGAGCCTGTTTCAGTCTGTGACTCCCTCTCTCTCTGACCCTCCCCTGCTCACGCTGTCTCTCTCTCTCTCCTAGAAATAAAATAAAAATATAAAACTAAATAAAAAATAAAATAAAATAAAAATCTAAGTCGGCCAGTTCTTCATCTGTCTTTTCTCTTGGCTTTTCAAATTTTCTCTTTATTCCGGATACACTGCCATTAATACCACAATCACTCCAGTTGTGGACTTATCATTTTGCTACAATCCTGAAAAATCTTTAGCCGTTATTTTTTGTCCTATGGACCTCCAGAGATGCAGCGCTGACCCAGAAGTGGGGCTCAGTTTGTGTCTGTAGGAAAAAAACTAAAAAAGAAAAAATGTTGAAACGTTAAAAAATCAAATCAATGTTGGTGCCCATTACTGACAAGGAATACTGATGGTAATTCTGGACCAAAACTGAGATGAAGATATTACTGTGTGTTATATGTCAAATGTATTTCAATAAAGCTGGGAAGATGATGATTGTGGACTTCAGTTATGCAAACTATATGCAGATACTATTAACACCAGCACAGAGCGTTCTTTCCTATCAGGCCGGCATAAAGTGATTCTCACTCCTTTGAGA